TTTATAAGCAATTTTCTCATATATGTATATATGAAGGTTTTTTGGCACCAAATGTATCTATAGTAGACTATAAAATGTCACCTTTGATCTGGCTGACATTCACTTTATTAGTAGGCGCGGAATCAATTTTACACTAACGGCTACCTAGTGCCCAAGTTGATATTTTATCAGTTTTTTGACATTATTCAGGTTTTCTACATAATAACCCTGCAATTCATATGAAGCCAAACTATTTCAAGTTCGCTAAGCTCATTTTTTATTGCAGCAACTTCAGTATTGGGTGTTCAACGAAAACGTTAGTCAAAGGGGCCAAGAAGGACCTAAAATGGAACATCTTAAATAATTGAACCTATGATTATATCGCTGATGAATCTGCAAGTTCCAGTCTCAACGAAATAAAATCACATATGTAGCATAAATATTTCCTGAAGCATAGGCACACCTCCGTGACCTTCTTTAGGATGCTTCAAAAATGACAATAAACAGGGTGTCCTGAAAGTTGGGACTTTCTCTTCCAAAAACAACTACGTTTGAAATAACAAAGGATAATATTCGGTAAAACAGCACCGAAAGCATAGAAAAGGAATTGAAGAAAAATGCTACCTGCTATTTATGTACGGCAATTCAAGTACTGCCCTGCCGCATTTTGTTAGAAATTGCTGCTTGGCGTTGTCGCCAATCGATTCAAAAACACGAGCTTCTTTGCTTCTTCCTAAATTTGCAACATTTGGCGATATCTATGTCCTTCTACCGTGTCTACCCAGCTAGCTACGCAGCGTTGATGGAAATATCGAGGAAGACGGCGACAGTCTGAATACTCTAATACGTTCGCGGAGTATCAATAGGATCCTGTATACCTACAGTCCACTAACATCAAATCTTATGTTATTGCTATAAGAATGTGCCAATATCGGTTTTCAAGTGCGGTTTGTTTATAAACTAGGTTAACCTACATTCATCGCGGCCTTTGATCTGGCTTCTGACTCACATCTGGTCATAATACTACAAAACATCATACCATTTGACGTAGGTGGGGAGAGAGGGCAGGTTTGGAATAGCTTATTTAGAGCTTATTTCCAAACTTGATACCTTGATTATATTAAGGCGTTGGTATACGTATAAAGGAAAGTCCCAACCTAAAGGACATCCTCGTCAACCTGAAGTGCTGCAATGTTTGTTGATGTTTTGGTGTAACGTTGACAATTTGTATCACACATTTCACCTTTATTTTCAGAAGCATTGTCAGACTATACAACTGATGCCTGATTATGCTTTTAGGATCAGGTGCAACACGTCAGCGGTCTACATTTTTATTATAAAGCTTCTCGATAAATGTGTCGAATTCATATTTTAGTGTAGACATTCAAAGTTATTTTTAAAGTGTCTAGATATAGATGAAGACAACTACAAGCCGCTATGAACCTCCATTCTTACCCTATCTTGCGATCTTTATTATTCAGGAACAGTTTAAATGTACGTTGTGACTCTGGGTCAGGACATCATCAGCTTTTTACCATCCTCCGTGGTCTGATATGGTTCAATGTGAGTTTAATGCAAAATACATACCTAACAATCTTGACACAAATGTCATTTTCGTTATCCCCACTATTTCGGAGCGTATAACACCGAATCAGAAGCTAATGCATGATGGGGCAGGGGATTTCAAAAATGAGTAGCTCCGGTGCATGACACTCTAGAGCACTGGAACGGTATTGACAGGTGGTGGGCAGTCCCGAGTTACTCCGAGTGACTCAAACGAGGCACTGGAAAGCACCGCAGAAATACATAAGTAAAATATACTGTCAGTGTCGTTTTGGATGTACTTCGAAAGAGGCGATCGAGATGAACAAAACGTGGTTTGTGATTTTATTTGGCGGTCAGTGGAATATGGATAGTAACCTGGGTTAGATTTTGAGACTAGAGCCGCCTAGATTATTTCCTATTTGACAATTCAAAGCTATTGGTTCACAGAACACAGAACATTGGAAATTTATCGACATAGCTCATTGAGACTGTGAGAGCCTTGCATTCATCTTTGATGTACGGTTTTTGTACAATAAGAAGGCTCATATGTGATCTTTGCTAGTGACGGCTTGTTTTTGGAAGTCTTGTTAGTCTTGTATTTTTAAAACGAAGTAGTTCGTCAAAGAAGGAATACGAAAACAGCCAGTAGTAGTGGTATGACCAACTGAATTGTTGCCCCATGTTTTTGAAAACGTCTTGTACAGTACGCCAGCTTTGGCCTACCACAGAAAATTAAAAATTCTATTTTAACGAAGGTTTTCATAATTGAAAATGACCATTTCAGATTCAGACTTTTTCAAAAACTGAATCGCTCATAACTCGAAAACTGTCAATCTTCAAAAGCTACTGCGCATCTCATTACCCATAATGTTCCAAAATACCCGCAAATAATGTCGATAGCTAAAATAGTATGTATGTATTTGTAATTTATTAGAAGCATAGTTCAATCAAATTTGCTCCAGGTTACCGACCGCCAACCTCTTGAACCGTTTGTGTATCAAACGTACGTGATAATGAAAAAAAAATCAGTTGGGAATCTCCTCTGGCAAATTCGAAGTTTGCGCCTCCTTTAATATCCCAGCATCTATTCAAAAATAGTCACTGGATATCATGAAAGTCGGTAATTGACCAGATTAGAATAAGTAATTATAGCTGACAAACTCCTCGCACTTTCCTCAAATTTGTTCCTACAGTACGGAGTATATCAAAATGAACAGCTTTTCTGGGAGGCCATAGGATGGTAGTTTGCTTAAGAGGGCAGCGTGCCACAGCTGATCGAACGCTTTCGTGATGTCAAGGGCAACGACATGAGCCTCGTCATAAGACTGAATGAGTTTACTCCACAATTACGTGACGTAAGCTAGGAGGTCCCCTGTGGATCGCTGGTGCCGGAAACCATACTGCCTATCGCTAGTGAAGCTGTGACGTTCAAATAGTCCAGAAGCTCGCGATTTATCCACCTCGCCATCACCTTATAACAGAAAGCAGAGCTATAGGCCTGCAGTTGTAAGGTTCGGTCTTGGATCCTTATTTTCAGATGGGTTGTACATGACCAAATCTCCAGTTTTCTGGGGCGGATTCATAAGATGTCTGGAAGACACGCCAAAGAACTGGAGCAAGCTCCACTGCACATGTCTTCTGTACAATAGCAGGCATCAAGTCCAGATCAGAAGCTTTGTTGATGTCGAGCGACAAGAGCACTCGTCTTACGGTCGTATGCCTGAATGTTACCTCCCGCATAGCGTAGGGAATGCTTCGAATGGACGGCACTTGGGCGTTGAGAGGGACGTTAATGGTGGAGTTGGCAGCAAAGATCTTGGCAAGCACTTCCGCCTTGGCCTTTGAGATGGATGAAATCATTACATCCTAACACGTAAGTGGTGGAAGGTTACTGCGTGTGGAGTTCTTTTCAATCTGCTTTATATCATGTTGGTTTTTGGCATTGCGAACCGCTCCGTTATATTTGTTTCTGGAATTGAAATCGGCTTATCTGTTCTCTACAGTGGGGTTTTGTAAGAAATTTCTGTGTACCTTGATCATCTACTGGAGAGTAGCGTCACACGATTTGTTAAACCAATCGTCGGACCCTGGTTTAGACACTTTCACCGTGTGGGGGATGTATTCCTCCATTCCATCGAAGAACAGACAGCCGACGCATTCACCCCAGTAAATCTCCAAAGAAAGGTGGAGAAGGAGTCTCTGAGCCCCTCCCAGTCAGCATGTTCGTAATGCCAAATTTTGCGGCCTGTTCGAGTTTCTGCTGCCACAGCGCGTTCTGACCGAAACCTAACCTCCACAACACAGTGGTCTGAGCTGCCAAGGGGGGAAAGGGCAGCAGTCCTGTAAGGGACAGGATGCGTGGTCAGCAAGAGATCCTGCAGGCTACTGGCATGTGAAAAAGTAGGGCTCGTCACCAGCTGGGTCAGCCCTTGAGTAAGTGCGACGACTTCAACTGCACGACCTGATGCATCGGTCTTGGTTTGAACCCAACCAAAGCTCATTAAGAGCATTGAAATCACCGAGAAGAACTACCTCTGAAGCGGGGTGATTGATGCTCAGGAAGTCGATCTTGACGGCGAGATATTGAAGTAGGTCATCCCAGTTACGGTCCGAGGGAGAGCGAGGAAGGCAGCAAATAAATTTGGGGGACGTTTTGGAGTTGAGACGAAGCCACAAAATGTCCTTCTGGTCTGATTCCAAAGAAACATCTCTGGCGTAGGAAAGACTGCTGCGGACAAAAGCTACAACCCCCCGTTCTTTCTCAGACTAGAGTGCACTTCGTAATTTCGAAGCTAAGATGGCTAACCGGTGCAGACTCTGAGATTTCTTTACCGCCAAGAAAAGCATGGCGGGACGATTGGATTGCAAATAGTGATGAACAGCATCAATGTTGCTCTGTTAATCCCGCAGATGTTAGTAAAACAAATTTTATCTTCGACGTTTTTCCCTCGAACCCACCCTCCACCCGGACATTCCAAGAGCTTCTTGGGATCTACTCGAATCGATGGTCTGAGTAGACCGTATCTAGTATACCAACAGAATCGTCGGCATCTAGAGGCCAACAGACATCTTGCTGTTTTCCCTTTCGCAGTGGTTGTTTTTGGTAATAGATGACATCTTGTGCTGTCTTAATTCGATTAACCTTATATCCTAGATAGAGAACAGTAGCTCAGTTTTCGTTGGTTGTACTAACAGACACCACGCCTAGACAATGCTGATAAATTGCCAAAATGCACGAAACATATATCCATGGTGGAAGGTCTGTGGATCGTCGGGATGAAAGCTATATTACTAATTTACTTCGTTTAGTTATAACGTATATTATGCGACGCAGATTTTATCAAGTATCTTCTATCAAATTCTTATCTCTCGTCTTTATCTCAAATAAGAGCTTTAATGGAAAACAATATCCCCCTACTCCATAATATGAAGCCGTTCCAAAGCCTCGTCCCCCATTGTGCCATTTCTACGCAACTTCAAAGTACTACTTTAGCTGAGCCATTAAATTCAGATGGAGATAGCATAACTAATTTTATGGGCCCGTTCTGTTTGCGTATGGGCATCAGTTTCAGGAAAGCGTTAAAGCTTCCAACGGCACTGTGTCTCCAGTCCTCGCCGTTCCGCAAAGCGCTTGTTTGTCTGATAGGGATGTTATCGATCATATCCTTTATGTCCGCCTCCGGTGCAGGACGTTTACACTAGAGTATCTTGATTAGGATTAGTAAAGGAACGGCGTGTAGTGTCACTACTCATTGCGCTTCAGTTAAGAACTGGAAACCAGCAATATAACTCGTCGGAGAAGTCTGCAATGACCTTCTCTACCGAGGTACGTATAGAATTTTTTTGTACCTAAGAAGCATCCTAAAACACCTTATGTTCATTTGAGGTTTAAAACGGCTTTATTTTTGTAAATAAAAAGGTAACGGTTTTAAAGTTACCCTGTAAATATACTGCCAGAACTTTAGCGTGTTAGCTGCTTTTGTAGAATCTAATACTGTTGTCAAATAAGATTAATTTGTCTTAAAGGTATTGTAGTTCATTGTCAATTAACTTTGAAACTATTCAGTTGTATAAGGAAGTTGCCGGTCACCTAAGATAAGTACTGAAACCCATTAATAAAATATACCTGATCTTAAGACTATTGTGTCAGTAAATAATATGCCTTAAATATATTTTTTTAGCTTTCTTTAAGACGGCTTTCTCAAATGCAATTAGTAGGCTATATTAAAATTGTACGCACGTACCCACGTAGCACCGAACGGGTTTATTATGCATTTGAAAGAGCTAAAACTGTGAAATAAACCTGCAACCATACGCAATTAGTCTTTAAATAGACCTTAAGATTGTAATAAACTCGTCATCAGCATAAAATGACTCACATTGAAAGCGCTCAATGAAACCAAAAGTACAAAACTTCATAAAATTTTCTTATACTAAGCAACTATTTTTAAAAGTTTACTACATCTTCAACACATGCAGTTTTGTAGCAAACTTGAATGTGTTTACTAAATGTATATAATTATGTGAAATTGAATGTAAACAGGTTGAAGATGTGATCTTTATAAGTACTACTAAGGTTCATCATAATTCGTTGCCTAGTCTATAATTGCAACAATTGGAACAGAAACTATCCCGATCGTTAAGCATATGGCTCTATTCGTAGACGATTACCGCCCTACGATTTGTTACACAAAAAACAGAAAATAGATTAAGGGTTCTGCAAGACTAAATATTTGTGTGCTGCCATCTTCTGCATCCATTTTTCATCCGTTATCATCCTTAGAAAAAACGTTATTTCGCATAAAAAGCCTTCTCTTTCTTCCACGAGACGCCGACCGCGCCTCCTTCGCAGTATATGCAACAACACACAGCAACTGCCTAAAAATTTCGTTGAATATTTGGACGAATCTCTATGATATTGTAGTAGTAGGGTGTAACAGTTTTACAAAACATTCGAAATTTTCGAAAAGGATGGGACCAAACCTTACGGAAGTCAGTGCGCGGTGAATGCTCAAACTTTGGGAATAAGCTCTCTAGAGGTTCCTGATTAAAAAATCTGATGGGCAATCCTGAGAAGCGTTTCCCTGACATACAGGGCCTCCCAAGCATGCAAGGACGGAAAATGGCTCCTGAATAATACCTTGTCGAAGGGGGTTATAATACAGAGTAAACTAATCATATTAGCAAAGCTCCCTGAAATAATTGTAAGGTATGGTTTTACTGGTTCTAGTTATTCAAGGGGGTATTTAGAACATTTACCCATAAATTGAGTACACGAATCTTTGTGGGAAAATTTTTTATTTGACAACAAAGATGAGAAAACGTGTTCTTGCGGACTCAATCGTGTTGACAGGAACGAAAAAGCTTTTCATATAAGATTTTTAGGTATTTATGAAACCTACAAAAAAAGACTACACGTAAAAAGATCCGACTAATAGCAAAATGTTATGAAACGATGCAAAATGCAGTTTTTGACACTTGTTGGTAATGCGACGATAATTTCACGCAACTACTTGAAATTCTTCAAATCCGTACGATTCATATTTCTAAATAATAACAACAAAATTGGAGTATATTGGTCATAGCTTTTTTGCTATTAGTCGGACCTTCTTACATGTAGTCTCATTTTGTAGGTCTCATAAATACCTAAAAATCTTATATGAAGAGTTTTTTCGTTCCTGTCAACACTTGCGATTGAATCCCGAAAAACACGTTTTCTCGTTCTCTGTTGTCCAATAAAAAGTTTTCCCACAAAATGTTATGCGTCCATGTTTTGAATATCCCCTTGAACAACTTGCAGTAATAAATCCAGTCTTCACAATTATTCCGCAAACCGGGGGTGTTTTTGTCTAATTACGATTAGACTATACTATCCGAGGGCACATTTATCAAATACTTACAATTATACAGAGTGTCCCATTTTTGCCACACATCAAAAACCTATTTTGTAAATGGAAGGCAGTACTTTTTATCATACACTCGGATAGGCCCTTTCAAAAGAAAAACATTAAGATAACCAACTGATTGGTTTTCATTATTAGTTATTGGACTATTTGGTATTTCATCTAAAAAGAACACCAAAATTTGACAACCTGCATATCTGCTGTCTTGACAGTTCGCATTAGTATACGCATTAGTATAGGCATATAGATAATGTCAATTTCAAGGTCATTCCAAGGTTCTTTTCGATGAGACACTTTTGATTAAGGAAATAAAAGGAGTGGAAAATGCCACAATGAAATATCCACATTGGGCGATGACCTTTGTCAATAATAAATCTTGAGAGTTTGTGCCCCGTTCTTTAAAAATTGACAGTATTCAAGGTTTACAGTTTACAGCTTTCAATATTTTAAGAATTTTGGAATTTGCGGATTTAAAAAAATACAAATTTTGTGCATTGCGACCTGTGAACCATTAAAAAAATGAAAGAGTGAGCGACTATAACTATCTGAAACAAACGTCAAGGATTTGAATCACGGCAGAAACGCAAGGAGTGCATTTAGCAACGTGAAGCATATATTGTAAATCCAAAGTCTTAGTTTTTGATTACCGATGCTCAAGTGCCATGTCTTCTTGGTGCTTCTATATGGGCTGAATGAGTTGACCCTGAGCACGTTATATATGCAGAAATTTGCGACAAGTAGGTTCACTCCATACTTCCCACGACTTCCCACGCCTTCGAAACAACTTACAGTACAATTTGGCATGTAGTGCAACGGCATCAAGAAAAAGATCTCGCGAATATCTCAAACCGCAGCAATAAGCGTGTCCGTACACGATGGCCTCATTTCTTAGAAGCTCTGTTGTTGATAATGTTTGGTACCTGTAATAGCTCTTGATACGTACTACCTAGTACTACAATACGAAATCAAGTAACCTCATAGAATTACACCGCTAGCATAATGCTCGTATATATATATATATATATATATATATATATATATATATATATATCGCGCCCACCTAGTATGAGCATATCGCATTACCGGGTACATTGCCATTTCTCGACAAAACTAGCAACGGTGCTACTCGAGACAACTCGAGATCGAAAGCGTCAGCGATGCGGCCCAAAAGAAGAAGTCCCACGCCCCGCGACAGATAAATGTATGGGGAATCGATGATGTGTGGAAATAATACATCTAAAAGATACCCAAAATTACCCAAAAAATTGCGAAACACCTTCGTCGAGACATTTTCTGCGTATCTTAGATTGTCTAAGTTAACATTGTATATGCATTGTGTAAAAGTCTACGCCTAAAAGCGCATCACATTCGTGACCCCCGCGAATCGTCGACAGCGGCATTGCTGTGTAATATTGTATATGCTGAGCCATCGTCGCGCCATCGCATAATCTTATTCGCGCGGTTTCCGGGTGCTTTACTCCGGTGATTTCCTCGAAAAATTCGCGCGTTTTTCCGCCTCCGGTTTTTTGCTGAAAAATTTATTTGGGTGTCACAGATATGGAGGATCCTGATTCCCTTCCAGGATTACTCTAGGGATGACGTACTCAACGCATACAGGAAATGAGATCAACTATATAATGTCCTTAGGCGAGTATGCTTTTCAGTCCGGAAACCCACAGCTATATAGTTTGTTTATAAGCATATTTGAGCATGGAGAATCCAATCGTATGTACGAGAAACAGAGCAGCTAGGAATTGGGTTTCTGCTCTGTGTATGGCGCAACACAAATAGAGAAAGACCCTAGGGCTGCTAGAGGCAACTTCTCTAAAACACGAAACGTGATTAGCCTTTATATTTATGCACTTGATATGCCTGCGTATGTACTTTTAGGGTATACGGTTGACTTACCGGTATCAGGTAATAAGATAAACAAAGAGAAAACCAACTCAAATAATATTCTGATGACTGATTTTTATATACACTAACTTTCAAATTCGACTCTTACCATTGGAATCTCAGAAACTGTAAGAGATTCGAAGTCGCTTAAATGGGGGAAAGTTGCGTATTTAGGTAATCAACAAAATGTCGATTAGACAGTTTCGAAATTGGAAGTACTTCCGAAGAGAGACCGAAAAAAACGAATTTTCCCAAAATCGTTTTAACTTTCTCCTGACTTCATTTGTAGTGGGATTTTATAATAAATTGCTTATTGACATCGCCACCGTTTCTCTCTACAAGGTGGCATAACTAAAATTTAAATATGACGTTTCGTCTCTTGTCCTCCAGGATTAACTTTTTTTGTGGACGTGGTATCGAATTTTTGGGCAGATGAATAAAGTGCTTGATTCCGCTTTTAAAAATGCTTAAAACTTCATACATTGGCATTGCCAAACGTTAGTTATTCCAGAATAACAGAAGTTCCTAGGTAGGCTTTAAAGATAACGAGTAGTGAACAATGTGCAGAGGAAGCTCAGGCTTTGCCTACAAAATATCAGACAACATTTTGAACATTCGCTGTGGCTCACCTCTGCCTATTTATGATCATTATTGTATTGCCATCAATGAAATTTTCATTTTTTGTTCAGGTTTCAACATACATTTTTTCCTTCCTTTCCTTACAATCTTCATCCAACAACAAATTCATGACCAACTAAGGAAAGACATCACCGAATTTAAGACCATTTAAGTATACAAAATTCCAATGAAAAAAGAAACTTGGTGATGCAAGACGAAAGAGGAAATGACAACATGCAATTTATTTTGGAATCCCATCTCAAATATAGACAGGAAAAAAT